ATAGGGCTGAATTTTCTGCGTCACGTACCGAGGGCCAGAGTGAGTCACGGGTTGGGCTGGAGTGCTGGTTCAGCGTTAGGCTGAGGCTCGTGTTCTGACTGGTTAAACGAGCTCCGGTTGAACGCTGGTGTAAAATTCGTGTTAAGTATGGTCCACGCGCTCACCCTGGGTAGGTCACGCACAAAAAATTGCCGCCTGCGGAGCGTAGTTGGCAACGCACGCGGCAGCCACGCACAGGAACGGGCTTCGAACCCCGCTCAGCCTGGTTCTTTATTTTTATCAATCAATGTTCTTCTGGGAAGTTCAAGCTAATTCTCGGTCATCATTGTGTGTTCTGATTCTGAACACTACTATATGTACCACGTGTCTAAAAGCAGCAGTAAGGCTCTGCTTCGGGAGAGTCATCCTGCCATCGCGGACGCAAGGTGGTGGTGTCTTTTTCTTTCAGTTTGTAGGCACAAGTTCTCTTTATTACGCATTTATTTTAAGTTTTTACGCGAATATATGTTCCTGTCTGTGGCAATATAGCAGTAGGGCATTCTATATAGGTGGTGCTGTCCGTGCCCGAGATACCCACAGGCAGCGCCTGCACGCTCTGTAGTGCTTCTCTATTTCTCTTTTTACTTATTTTCTGTAGCAAAACTCACTGAGTCGGAAGTCGCTTCTAAGCCTACTCAACACACGTCTAAGGTGTGAATGTCGTGTGCCTTTCACCACCCTAAAGAAAACGTCGTGAGTTCACTTTTATAGGGGCAGAACTTGGAAACAGCCATTCATGGTGAAAAATAGTTAAGGATCCATGCTAATGACGAAGCAAATAATGCGATTACAGCCGAAAAATTCCGTGTGTGAAGGAACAATCAGGAAATTAAACGGCATAATCCTCAGCGCGTCACATTTTGCTTTTTGACTAGTCGTATTCTAAACTTCGTCATTGGCTAGAACCCTTCAATTGTTATCCTGTAATTTTCTGCCTTCGTGTTCTGCAGAAAAGTGAAATCCCTGACTTTTCTTTTGTGAAAAACGCCACCGTTTAGCGACACTTCAGAGGTACGATTTTGCGTCCTTGTAAGTGGGAACTTTTTTTTTTCTTCTGCGGATTACCAGTGTCGTTGCAGCTTTCTTGACATGGTAACCGGAAGGGGTGGGAAACAAGTCATACAACACAAAGCTCCAAACGCAGCTAAAGTTTCGATTAGTCCGAAACATTTTTAACCAGGTCCACAACCAAGACAAATACACACCAAAAAAAAGTTATTGACCACAACCAAATATTTGACCTGTTCCCGAGTCTACGATTGGGCAGCATTTTAGTGAGCATGTCTCAACTACACGCGGATGGCGAGAGAGCTCTCGCGGGCTCGAATGGGCTTCTCCCGGGTGCTGCTTTATTTGCCGGTGGATGTCAGCCTGTGGACGGGAGCCAAACAAGCTGAGATTTGTAAAGGAAGCACGGTTTGGTCGATTGCGTTCAGCGTGAAATAGAAGACAATCGCAATTTCAGCTTCCGTCCAAGTCTTTGCTGCGGTTCTCAGTTCATAAACAACGAGCCACCTTCTTTGTTTTTTTCTTTTTTGCTTCCGTCAGTAGATATTAGAGACTTCTAGCAACGCCGTTACCATATTACCATTACCGTACTACCGTTACCTTTGCCAGACTGCGCAGGCGCGACTCGTACCGGCGTCACAAGCCTGCAACGCGCTACCGTGGTCGCCTTACAGTGATACCGCGTCCCTGTGTTCAACATGCCGGCGTTCACACTACGTCACTGCAAGCGTTGACGACACACTGTTTCCAAATGCTGGAGGAGCCATCTAGAAACGCTCGTAGCAGCAAATGTTGATTGAGGAGCCATATTTCGTGGTGAGAGCTGCTTTTATAACGATCTTGGCACGTCAGAGGACGGGACTGGTTTTCTCTTCTTTCCACAATAAAAAAAAAAAATGCTTCCGATGGCTTTTGGGCTTCTTTGGTGGCTCTGTGCTGTTTGTTTAAAATATTTTACAGCTAACGTCTTCATCACGCGCTCGTTATCTTCCGCCGCGCTTTGGCTGCGTGTAGCTGCGTGAGCACTCTTCCGCTTTAAAGACGAGAAATCTCGTGCTTGATGTGGAGCTTCGACTGCGCTCTTCCCGTGTCACGAAAGAGAGCAAGGCGCATTATCAGAACAGTCATTAAGCGCTTATAAACAAGAAAAAAATACTTTATATCTGTTCCGCTTTAATAGTAGAGTAATTATATAACACAACACTTCCCTTCATTTTGACAACATGGATCAAAATAATCGTGTTGGAATGAGTAGGGCCTAACCGCGGTAAGCGACCGCAAACTACGTGAAGCTAAACTGAGGTTAACGCTGACCGTGTAACTAGGACATTACACTTGTGCAGAAAGCCAAACTCATTTCATTTTTTATTACAATTCAGTGACCAGCACGATACCGGTGCTTTCCGCTCGGGAGCAGCTTTTCATGGCATGTCAGAAGAAATAAGCAAGACAAGCTCATATATACCTTTTTCGCATAACCTCAAACCAGCCAGTAACTGAAGTATCCTCAACCCGGTGCATTTTTGGATTGCCCGCTGACACAGGGTATGCAACCGCCAAGGGTATAGGCGAAAAGGCTTAAAAACGGACGTCGTGCATGAGTTAGTTCCGAGTGCTCATTTTTACCGTGCTGCAATTTCCGAATATCTACGGTTGTCTGGCTACCACTGCGTGGTGGATGGATAAATAATTATAAAAAAGCATAAGAACAATAGCAGCAAGCGTGCCATGAGCACAAGAAGCTGTAGCGCGAGTGTGGCTGCAATGTTATTGAGCTTCGCATTTTCCCCAAGAATCCTTATTTATGAAGTCAGTCGATTGCGAGCTTGAATCGCGAGAGATTCGTATCAGAATCAACGTCACGTTTAAGCTCACGACCACTTCGTCTACGACAAGAGGACCGATTTTAATTCCCGGTGCAGGTGGTCCAATTAGGTTATCACTGCAAGCCCCATGGTATGTGAAAGGTATGAAAAAGTTTACATGCCACCACTCAAGATGGAGCTATCAAATGTCGAGAGCTTACCTGCATAGACTACATTAAACTGCTCATATATACAGGGTGTCACAAATGAAAATTTATACGGTCTTTTTTACCGCAAAAATGAACTAGGCATCGCCGAACGCTCATTCTCCGCCCAAAGGTAGAGCAAGAGGTCACAACCACATGCCAAAGTTTTAGCCCGATCCGATAACTTAATAAAAAGTTATAAGTGATTTTCTGAAAATTTCAATGGGAAAATGGAGCCCATTTTTGCCCATTTTCGGTTTCTGGTGCCATAGAGCCCCATGTGTTTTAAAACTCCGTCGGCCGCCATTTTTCCATTGAAATTTTCAGAAAATCACTTATAACTTTTGATGAAGTTATCGGATCGGGCTGTAACTTTGGCGTCTGGTTGTGACCTCTAGCTCTACCTTTGGGCGGAGAATGAGCGTTCGGTGATGCCTAGTTTATTTTTGCGGTAAAAAAGACCGTGTGAATTTTCTTTTGTGACACCCTGTACTTCGCTGTGGAAACTCAATCAAACCACCCCACCGTCTTCGTCCTCGTTCTCTCGAAGAGGCAAGGTGATGGCCTGGGAGTAGCCAGCTGGATTCAACCGGACAAGCTCCAACCCAGTTATTGCCGCCCACCATAGCCAAGTCTAGCCAAGTTCCCCCCATACCCACACCGTTGTCTACCCAGATAGCTGTGCTGCCAGAACTAGCCGGTATTTCTTTTTCTAAGCAGCTAGACGGCGTAGTCGGCGCCGCAATTCTCAAAATGGCGGCGCCGTTTAAGAAAAGGTCTATTTTTGATCGGTGCCCAGGGTGCGCGAGCTCAAGCACGCCCTTTAGCTTTGACTGCATTGCCAAGGAACGCTCTCCCTGAGTATTAGGAACCGGTTTATGCCGATCTCTAGTTTTACCATTATTTCACTTTATTGCGCCACCTTTTTATAAATTATTTATTGCTGTCAGCTTTTGTCACCGGGTCACAGCTCAGCTGCGGTACCACGGTACGAGTCGCTGGTGTGGTAAAATAATTTTTTTAAAGGATTTGAACGGTACCCGGTCGCGTATACGCAGTTGGTCCCACGGTAATGACAGTCCGGCAACGGTAGTACGGTTTGCTGAAAGGCCCTGTTGTGAAAAAATTGCCTTATTCCTAGTGGACGAACCTCGTTTTTTTGCTCCCGTTAACAGACGAACCGCCTGTTCATGATATCTTTTCTCGCTTTGAGAGTAAAGGTACGTTTATACTTCAACGTAGCGTTCCACGTTGAGCACCAATTACGGATACGATCTAGGTCTACTTGCAATCGGAATGCATCATCTGAACTTAACTTGAATTAAAAACAAAAGCGGACTCAGGACAGAGCCCAGTAGAACTCCTGATGTTACATCGACATGATCCGAATTTTCGCCGGTCAATACCACACATTGGCGACGGTGAATAAAATAATTTTCAATCCATCTAAGTACAAGCGAGTTTATGTTTAACATTCTAAGCTTATTAAGAAGGAGTGAGTGCGAACCCGTGTCGAGCAACTTTTGAAAATACAAAAATACAAAATTTATTTGCCCTCTTTGTGGCTAGGTTATGGTACTATTCAACAAGTTGCGTAGTACAAGAAATACTCTTGCGCAAACTCGTTGCTCTTTAATTAATAAGTTTCTTGTTTTCAATGAAAAATAATAAAACTGAAATTCACAAGGAAGTTGGGCTGAGCTAAAGTGACCTGAAGTGAACCGAAGCTGAACTAAACTGAAATTATTGGGAAGTCTGCGGGGCGCCGTGTCTTTCTATTTCTTACGCGGGATCACAGCGCAGGAGACAGGGGTAAAGGCGTGTGAAACTGAAACTGAACTGATGTGAACTGAACCGAACTAAACCTGAACCTGAAACTCAACTGATCTAAACTTATGCGAAAGCCGTCGGCGACGCCGTCTGAAACTTCGAGCGCACCCACCTGCCGAAGAAGACGTATTTTCCGGCGACGCGGAGCCTGTTGGTGGCGTTGATGAGGGCCTGCACGGTGAAGCCCTCGCAGAAGCAGACGACGACCCGGGCGGCGGCGAACTTGTCCAGGCTGCGCACCACGTTGTCGTAGTCGTCGGCGTCGGCGTCCGTCGGTATAGCGTGCGAGTTGGCCACGCAGATGCCCGCGTCCTTGGCCCGGCTGGTGAACTCGTCGATGCCGTTGTAGCCGTAGTTACCTGCAAGTACAAGGTGGAGAAACAACAAATGAAACGAGGTCGCAAGATGGCCGTGTTAAAAACAGCTGCGGTCACTGAAGTATATCACCCTTTAAAAAAAAGCCTGTGCGACTATACTTCCCCGCACAACACTCGGAGAGCCCATCACCGCAACTTACGGAGGCAGCTCAGCGAATGAGAATGCGGAAACATATCTTTAGACCAAAAAACGCAGTCTGAGTTGTGACATCAAGCAATGCAAGCGTGACGTTTTACATTGCTTAATGTCACAACTCAGACTGCGTTTTGCGCTCTGCTGCGCTGTGGTGCACAGCGCACACCCTAAACTGTTGTTCGCATGGCGTAAAAGCGAGAAACGCTAAGCCCAGTGTCACACCCTAAACTGTTGTTTTCTTTTTTTTATGTCTAAACATGTTTTTAGTTTCGTCATTCGGGAACTTTTGTCTGTAGAATGCCGCGATTAGCGCTCCCATACGCTTTCCGGGAAAGTAAGCGCTCTAGATTTCTCAAGAGTGTATCGGTGGTCGTGGTTCGCAGCACATGCACATAACTATGGGCCATAAAAATGAGAGAGAGGAGGCGACTAGAGCGCGCGGGGACGTCAGAACACCGAGCTCTGGTTGGAATGAGGAGTGGGTTGACGAAGCAAGGCCCCGAGCTGCGTTTGCTCGAGGCTCGCGAGACGTCGAAGCGTACCGAAAGTAGGAAGATCACGCAGGATGTCGGACAACTGAAGGACCTTCCTTCCGTTTCTCGTCCTGTGAATGATTATGCGGAGCGCAAGTTCGTTTGCTTTTCCGCAAGGGTAGCTATGACGTCAGAACTTCGAGCTTTGATCGGCTTCGACTGGAAGGATAGTGGGGAGACCTCGAGGCAGCTAACGCTGAGGTCTACCCGCTATCCCTCCAATCAGAGACAATGAAAACTCGGCGCTCTGACGTCACCGCTACCCCTAAGCTAGAAGCAGACGGGCTTGTCGCGCTTCGTATAACTCGCCTTTACCTTTGTGGGGACCCTCTCCCTGGCTCCTCCGCTCTCCGTGACCTTGCCGCTACCTGCCGCCGTATTGTCGGGCGCTCCTTCGTTCCCCGTGACCTTCCCGTTTCCTGTCGCCGTCCTGTCGCGGAACGTCCGAGCTCTCCGGGAGGAACGGGGCAGGCGCCCCCTCACCCAGCGCTGACGTCGGAGGATCGGCTCGCAGCAAGGTTCCCGATTGGACGGTCGGCGGGACAAGGACTTGGGAAGGTCTTAAGAGGGGAACGGAGACAAAGGAAGAGGGCTTGGGCTGCCGACTTCACAAGGGACCGGTCATGGAGGCGAGCTCGGACGGCGCTGGACGCTGGCGCAGGGAGTGCGGGCACTACGTCGAGTGGCGGACTCGGCAAAACGGACCGTACAGCGACCCTGGACGACGACGTCCCCATGACGCGGTGTGGACGAACACCGCTGGGACTCGGAGAGGCTGCTCGGGCAGCCGACTCTCCCCCGACCTTGCTGATGACCGTCCTCCGATCCCGAAACCCCCCAAGGCAATGAGTGCGTGAATAAACCCTTTTGCCGAGAGCGAAGTATTGAAGTGTCATATTCATCCGGAGACAGGGTTTGTGGGAATCGGAGCTAGAAGATGCCCGCACCTTCTGCCCAAAACAAATATTTTGAGTGGAGAGCAGCGCACGATCAGACAGGTTCAATGTGCATTGCCGTCCAATCGGGATTGTGCTTCTCTGGGCATGCAGTGAAAGATACGGGGGTGCGTGCCCTTGCGCAAAACTAGAGCGCCGGTTAAATCTTGTCTCCAGAAATTCTGCAGAAATTCGTCTCCGAATATAGTTGACCTATCTCCAGCATTATGGGGTGCCTCAACAGCGCGCAAACGGTCATGGGAGGTCATCGTTGAAAATAAGAACGCCTTCAAAGAATTTAAAAGTCAGTAAACAGTGGCCGCGACATTCGGACTCGCACCAACTGCGTTGAAGAAAACTACGGAGCTTTTTACAACGCAAGCACGTAGAAATTAATGTACGCAAAGTAAATATTTTCCGATGCTTTCAACTTAAGAAATAGATTGAAAATATGGTTCCGTAAACTGCAATTATGCTTTTGTAGTAAATGTACCCATGCGAGATTCTTTTTTCTTTTTTAGGTTTGGAAGTATATTTTTGTGTTCCAAATTTAGCTCAATTTTCGGTCTGTTTTTCTGCGTATCTATTCGGCTGGAACAGGCGAGCGTTGAACAGACCGAAGATCGCACGAAATTCGGAAGACGTGGCAATTGTTCCACACCAATATTTTGAAAAAGGAGCCACGGGTGGATATCTGAATGTTTATCGCACATAAATTGGATACACAGTCTTACTTATACCGTATCTGCAATTTTAATGATGAGAATTGGCTTTTGGATGTCCCGAAATTCAAGCTTTCTTTTTGTTATTTTTTTTTTTTTTTGCTTATGTAGCATTTAGCCTAAGGAGCGCGTAACGCGCCACCCTTGGTGGCGTGCCAGAAGAGGTGTGCGAAAAACGAACCAAAGACTACACAAAAATCAAGGCAGCAAAAAGTCGGAGGACTCTTAAGCTTCGCCTTTAAGAGTGGAACGCGATGGCGTTATTGAATCCTCGGCCCGCGTGTGGCGTATCGCCTCTGCACGCCTAGCCTTCGTCTCCGCCTTCTCGGCTTCAGTCTTACGTTGCCGAGCCCGTCTCCGAGCAGGAGCAGACATTGATGCGGCATCCGCACTCGTAGAAGAGGACGACCCAAAAGAACGCCCCGCACGGGTAGACGGCACCACATCCATCGCACACGTTTTCCCCCCCGGCGGCCTACGGCGGCCCCGCGGCAATGTAAGCATTCTCCACAGGCCAGAGCTGTATATGGGGAGAGTCTGGCCGGTTGATGTGGAGACGAAGGCGCCGGAGAGGAGAAAAGTGAAGGAACGGGAGGAGAGCGCCAAAAGAGCGACAGAGAAGGGAGCAAAGAGGAGACGACCGCCATTTTGACGCAACGCTGTCGGCGACGAGCACTGTTGAAAGTGAGGCTACGCGTTGTCTGCTGCCGGCTTATTTTTTTTTTCGCCTAATTAAAAGTTTGCGTTCAAGCGTGCAGAAACTTCATTCGTTAGCTTTTTAAGCCACCGAGGAATAACATTATATAATTTTCTTGCCAGAGCCTGCCAAATAAACAGAAAGAATCGAAATTCAGATGCCGATCCCATGCATTCCGCCGTTCGAATGAATGAAAATGGCGGCCCTCCCGCTCAGTTGGGAGCAGCCGGGAGTTCACGGGCATGCGCTCACGCCCTCGCTCTGCGCCGCGGTCTGATTGGCTCACTCGGGAAGGGGCGTTACAGTGGCGAGATTATAGACTGGACAAACTCTCACCATATACGGCTCTGCCACAGGCGACCGATGATGGCAGGATCGCAGCGCCACTGCTCGGCGACGGGCAGAAACTTTCCGCTCCTCCGAGGCGGATGGAAAATGTACGCTCCTCCATACAGAGGCGCCTAGGTCATGTGGCTGTGGCGTCATGACCCTATCGACCAATCAGGATTTTGGTGTCACGCCGGCTTTTCTGGCACGCCACCGAGGCCGGCGCGCCACGCGGTTAAAAATACATGCGCGCCATTTTTCGAGAAACGGGCTCCACGTCGATGTGCCTGTTGCGCAAAAGCGAATATGCGTTTATAGATACCATATTTCCGATACGCGTGTAATAAATACGCTCGTTAAAAATAAATAAGCGTGGAACAGTTTTCTTATTTTGCGAATTTCGTGCGAATTACAGTCAATTTTTCGCACATGTTTTCGAGCCCTAGTATCTATTGATTTTCCTTTCCCTAAATGTCACTTCTATGTTTTTTGTATTGATTATGAATATATGATATCGACGTTTATTGATTGAAGCTTGCGATCGCTCTCCTGCGTGGCAGGCTGATCCTAATAATGTAATGGCTAACTTCGGAATTTTATTTTATTTTGTTTAAGTGGGATGCTACTTTTCTTGACTGTATAATGTGTCTATTATCCTTCTCACCCCATACATATTGTTAAGAACGATTTTTGATCTGCTGCATTGAACTACACTGAGCTCAACACCTAATAGCCGGCTCCCGGCAGTTGCCAGAAGAGCGGGCATTGAAAGCATTTCTACGTCAAGATACTCTGACTGCTAACTTCGCTGATGAGTTACAGAAGAAAATCGACACATTTTTGCATTTATTTTTTCCTGTAGAAGTTTCCTTACTCCAACAGAAAGAAATGTGTGTTCTGGGTTCTATAATTCATTATGATATATTGGCGTCCATTTTAGTAGAAGCTGGAGCTGAACAGTAAATGTAGGCAGCACAAAACTGCAAGTTGTAAGCGAAATAAAACGAACCATGTTTCTGTATCACAGCAATAAAATAAGCAGAGCAAAAAAAAAAAAAACTTCAAAGTATACACAATGGCGTCAGAGATAGCGGGAAAACACCACACATCAGACAACTCAGGATTATCTGATTCAAAGTCTGGGAGCGAATTCCGGTAATTTTAATGAGAAAATGGCGGCCTGCGGTGCTCGCTAATACATAAAATAAATTACGCCAGACACGAATAAAAAAGGTGTCTCATTAAAAGTCTTAAAACTTTGCTTCTATCTTTTGGGCCAGATAACAGAGTTCGATGACTTATCCCAACCGATGGGGTAGAGTCTGAGAGTTAAGAGATGCGAAGTTTATGCTTGCGGCGCAAAAACTTCGTTCCGCTTATAATAAATAATAATAAATCTCTTTATTTCGTTTCGGAGACGAAAACAGGGGACATTGACAAAAAGCTGCAACTGCAGCTTGACGAAGGTCCGAGCCCCCTCTTACAGCAGGCGAAGAAAAATACATATAAATATAATTACACACATACGGCTAAGAAAATCTCAGCTAACACCCAGTACATCCGGCATCTTTCTTTTCTGTTTAGCCTGTATATCCACGACTTAATTTGTTTTTCGAGCAATACATTTTTCGA